TTGCCAGTGCACAGATTTTCTGGCATTCCCTGACATGAACTAGGTCCCTTCTGTTTGGTTACCTGCAACTGCAGGCACTGCTTTGGTGGCCTGGGACTTCTTTCCAGTTCTCTATCAAATGATTCAACCACACTGAATCTCCCAAATTCCCACATAAGAGATACAGGGCCACCCCTTCCTGCAGAGATGTGAACAGTGTACACAAGGAGAAGTTATTGGTCTCTGAAGCGACAACGATGACAGTTTTAAAGGGGTGTTTCATCATGACATCATTTATCATGAAGGACAGAGACAAAAAGCAGGAATGTAAGAAGAAAGTCTAACTGGCAATTCTACTTACTCATTAAACAGGACACACAGAAACAGCTTTAATTAGTAAATTTGCCCTACAGCATTAAGCAATGACTTCTGAAAGTTGTCCCACACACCCTGGCCTCCAGCCCCAGCCTCCATCTCCCATCCTCACCATTGCTCTCGTCCAGTGGACCAGTCCAAGGACAGGGCCAGTCGCTGTGCCCCGAGATCCACCCTGAAGCGTGGCTCCAACATGCAGCTGTTCTTCTACTGGAAACAAAAGGAATGGATTAAGACTGGGAGGACAGCAGGCACATAGCAGCAGGTGCACTGCTTCTCACAGCGGGTTTTCCAGAGACTGATGAGGAAATGAGGGTCCCACAGCACTGTACAATCGCCCAGTGCTGGCTGAGGGCAAACGTGCACACACAGGATCACACCCTTCTGCTGCTCATCTCCCACCAAACCTCCCTTAAACTCTGCTTCTTCTCAGGGAGTGATCAAGTGCAGCAGAAGTGATGACCTGACTGCTGAATTCCCTTACAGACTGGCCTCTGCTTTCTTTGCTCTGTGAGAATAGCTCTGATCAGTCTCTTCTCTCACCACCGAAAGAAACCACTCCAAAAATCCTCCCTGCTTCTACCAAGTTTGCACCTTCGGCTGTTTCCCAGTTAGGCTGTGCTTGTTTCCAGGGTTTGCTTCTGCCCTCCTCTTGGCTCTCCTCCTGACTTTGCAGGTGGGTAGAGCCCAACCCAACTCTCTGGTGCCGTGAACAAGTTCACAGAATTTATGACAATCATCAGAAGACAAAAGCATTAAAAAAGCTAAGCACACTGAGGAAGCCATGGAAACCACCCAGCTTTCCTGCAAGCCTATGCACTCTACTAGTAAATGTGGAGATGTATCAAACTTGGGTTAAAACCAGCTTCAGCAGCAGGCATTGCCATCCACCCACCTCACTTCCAGTCAGGTGGCAAAATTCCACAGCACCTATGGAGTTTGCGATGCCAACCATGGGATGTTCTGCAACAGGAATGTGGCACCTAAAAGATCAAATTAAACAAGTCTCCAATGTCCATCTTTCTTGTATTTTAGGAAGAGAGCAAAGCCATCACTTCCATTCCAACATGCACAAGGAGAAGGTATGTGATTAAAACAATCTCACATTAAGAAAATCTCAGGCTCCTCAAGTTCCCACACAGCTACGAGGATTCTGTACAGGGGAGATCTACTATATGTTATTATATAAATAAATGAGGTACAAAGTCATGACCAGCCAAGTGGGCAGAAAGCATAAAACAGAAAGAAGGCAGTCTTTGCTCATTGGAACAAACTGGAAAGTATTTCCCTCCAAGAAGTCAGGAACTGTTCCATTAGTAACTATTGCTGTTGCTGCCATGCCAAAAAAGGATCCCTGGAGGATCAGAGTGTGCTGCTGTGGCACCGAGCCTGGCCGGGCCAGCGTTACCATTTGATGTCCAGGATGGCAGCCGTGTCGATGCGCTGGATCTCGGTCAGAGGGATGTACGGCTGCTCCTCGTTGTAGTGGTACAGGTAGAGCCGCCCCGTCCGGTCACAGGCCCCATTGTTCCCTCGGGAATCGCTCTGTGGCAAACACGGGAAAGAAAAGGGCAAGCTCAGCCGCGCTTCTGCCTCCGCTCCCGAGATCCCGATAGGAGCGAGGAGCAGGCAGAAGCTCCCACTTGTCCAGTCCCAGCCTATTCGGGGCCGGCCACGCTCACGGAGGAGCCTCTCTGCCCCCACTTGAGCCACCCCAGCCCAGCGGGGACCGGCAGAACCGAGGATGGGGATGGGGCTCACCCCGGGGCGGTATGGGGCAGAGACAGGGATGGGAGTTCGTCCCGGAACGGTGCCGGCCGGGCAGGGATGGGGACGTGGACTCGCTCCGGAGTGGGGCCGGGCTCACCTGGTCGGGCGGGCGCAGGTGGTAGGTGCCGCAGGCCAGGATGCTGTGCCAGCCCTCCACCGGGCACCACTCCACCGCGTCCGCGCTGAACTCCGTGTCCACCACCTGCAGTGTGCGCGTCCTGCACGGCGCGGCCATCGCGGGCCGGGCCCTGCTGCGCCGCCGGGGCGGCTCCCAGGAGGCTCCGGGGAGGCGGCGCCGCCGCCCGTCTGCTTCCCGGTCAGGGCGGGCCCGGGGCGGAGCTGCCCCCGCCGAGCCGCCTCTTCCCCGGGCCGGGCTCCGCTCGCCTGTCCGAGCCGCTTCCCAACGCGTCCTTGCCGAGGGAAAGGGCTGCGGCTCCAGCGCCCTCCCGGTAAGGGAGCCCTGTCCTGAATCCGGCAGGGGCTCACGGGAGAAAACCGGGATCAGCTTCTCCTCGCCATCCTCCCAGCGCCTCGCTTCCCCCCCCGGCAATTCCTGGAGACACACGGGCTGGTACCGCTGGTACCTCGGAGCGATGCTGGTCCTTGCCCTGCGCCTTTCCCTTTCCCAGGCGGAGAGCGGCTCCTGCACACTCGGGATCTCATCCCGCAGCCATTCCCAGTGCTCCCTCCTCTCCTGGATTGCCGCTGTTCCCCTGGTGGAAATCCTGCAGACCCAAAGGGCTCACTGCCGAGTGAAACCAGCCCAGGCCTGGCCGTTTGTTTTCCCATAACCATCTATTGGCACTGAATTTCATCTCCCACTCTCTCATCCTTCTGCAATTCACTCAGCCTTTATTAATACACTGAATAACCTCATTCAGTGGATGTTGTCAGTTCCATTATACATTCCTTTTTTTCTAATTTTTTTTTAATATATTGGGCATCCAGCTGTTTACTTCCCACCACCAAAAAACCCCTCCCTTCTACTCTTCCTCTCCCATCTTAAATAGTTGTTTTTCTATGTGACAAACATAATTTCTCTTTTTGACCAGCAGCTTTTTTTCCTTAAGTGCCTTGAGCAAAGTCATCAGTAAATGCATTTCAGACCGTCCCAACCAAATCCCCCTTTCCCTGCTCGTTGATGTCTGGAATTGAAGCAATTTCAGTAAAGTTTTGAAGCATGATTTCCTTGTACAAAACCCACAGTGACTCCTCCTCGGTATTCACCCATTAATGCTGCATCACAGCATCCATGAATTTGCAAAGTGCTGGTGGCTGTAGTTTGAAATTCCTTGAAATTCCACAGAAGCTGCTGTGACATTTGCTGTGACATTGTACCAAGGGAGAGGTCACCATCCCAGCTGGGTGCTCAGTTTATTCATCCCCGAGCTCCCTCAGAGCTGTAGGTGGCACCGTCTGGTCCTGGCAACTTGTTGCTGCTCATTTCAGCTGAACTTTAATCTCTCCTCAAAGCACTTCTGTTCTGAACAGATTCTCTGCTGAGCTCTCCATATGGAAGCATTCCTGTGTGAACTCCACCAGCTCTTTCAAAGGGAACACATATGCAAACAACTCCCTGCATTTTCTTCTGCTGAGACTTTCATCTTCAGGTCAGTTCTGAAAGTCCTTCCCTTTGCTGTGCATCAGTCTCTGCTGACTCCAGCAGTCCCCCTACTCCTGATTTTTTCAAAACTACTCATGCAAATTTTACAACTTGAACATGTGCATTTCATTTCAAGGAAAGAATTAATGATTCCTTTAAAAAAAAGATTACCCATTAGAGGAAAATTGCATTGGGTCCTGCTTGGTTTTTTTATATTGAAGGGCATTTTGGGCTGCCTGAACAGAAAAGTTAGGCTAACTGTGGTTTAAGAGTGGCAACTTGACCAGGTGCCTTCAAGTGAACTTCCAGCAGGAAGTTCCAGAAGTTCTTTACTATTTCCCAAGATGCTTAAAGCCAAAGGATGAAAACCCACCAAAATGTTAATGATTCAGAACTTCCTGTGCAGATATTAGAAACAGAATATAATATTGGAAGTCCACAGCAGATCCATTTTCTAACAAACTGAATACAAGCAAGACCAACATTGCAACACGAAGTAGCAAAGTGAATCCTGATTGAAAAAAATCAAAATTCTAAACGGCTTTTACAAAAAAATTTTCACTAAGCACTCCAAGAAAGGCTCTGCATTAAGCACTCAGCAGCTCACATTCTTCTACTCTGAAGCACGACTAGCACCTGGCACTAAATTATCCATTTAGCTCTTCAGAAACTCAACTGATGTTCCTTACATTTCTAAGGCAAAAATGGAAAAAAAAAGTTATTCATGAAAAGAAAAACAGGCGTGTGCTCTGCAAGGGAAATCCTCCTCCAATACTTTTACTCATTACATTAAAAAAAAAAAATAAAATCAGAAAGTGATTCTTGAATTGATGACAACTCTTAAAAAAGTGAATAAATAATTCAAATTACCAAGTATTAGATATTTAAACATCTCTGCACATGACTGGAGTGTTTGCTATGCTACGGGTAAGCCACGAGGGCAACCACATCCACACACAGCTGCTACCTGAGCTCCCCTACCACTGCCTTCTACACAAGGGCTTTGGAACAGAAAGCTGATCCAGCTTTCCTGAAAATCCTGGCTGCTCCAAGGCCTATCTGCAGCAGCCCCTCCGAGGCAGCCCCGGCTGCAGGGCCTGGACACCCATCCCAGAGGGTCCCCATGCCCCACGCCAGCTCCTGGGGCACCTGCAGGGACTTCCAGCAGCCAGGGGTCACTGAGGAAGGGAAGGCAGCTGGAAGGGAAGGGGAAAAAGCCAGAGAGCAGACATGGATTCATTCCAACCTTTACTTTGCTCTTTTTTTGTATTTTTTTTTAAGTAGAGCTTCCATGCAGAGTTCTCCAGAGTAAGTGCTTGATGCCAAGTCTGCCCCGCCGGCCTTGGCACTGCCACAGACACTTCTGCCACATGGGAGGAAAAGCTTTTGCTACATGACTTTTGTTCTTTTTTTTTTTTTTTTTAACTTTTAGGCCAACAACATGTTCTCATCTGAACATTACAGTTAATGAGTGCTATCAAGAATTCCTAACAAAAACTGTACATGAGTTTACAAACGTATTAACATATAAATAATGAGAAGCTTCCTGCCTGGAGCCTCCACAGTAGTCTTTTTGCTTGAGAATATAATACTGGAAGGGCAGACCCGATCCCTTTCCACAGCACCAGTCAGAGCTGGCTTAGTCCAGTCAGCCATTCTGCTCAAGCATCACAGGGTTTTTCTTCAGTGCCTCTGGCTTTGATAAGCAGTCTGTCATACTGTGCAAAAGCAAGAGTCCAATGCCTTTGGGAAGGAATCCTGCTGCTGAGAGGCCTCTGCCACCCGGTCATCGTTCTGGTCCGAGCTCCTGCTGGAAGGTCCTTTTCTTCTCCCGACAGTGTTTCTTGTGAGCAGGCCAGTCCTTCTGCTGGCACTGCGAGCCGCAGTACCGCGCCACCTGGCAGCGGCCACAGATGTTGAATTCACGTAACTGGGAACAAAAGATGGTGTTAGAGGGGCTGCTCAGTGCTCAGGACAACCTCAGCATCGCTCCCAGGAGACACCCCAGCAGCTTTCCCAAGGAGCTTCATGACCAGGTCTTCCACGCCTGTCACAAACAGCTGACAGGACAAGGCTGAACAGCCTGAAGCTGAAGGAGGGCAGGGTTAGAGGGAAATTGGGAAGAAATCCTTCCTGTGAGGCCCTGGCACAGCATCCAGAGAAGCTATGGCTGCCCCTGGATCCCTGCAAGTGTCCCAGGCCAGGCTGGATGGGCTTGGAGGAACTTGGGATGGTGGAAGGTGTCCCTACCATGGGATGAGATGAATTGTAAAGTCCCTTCCAACCCAAACCAGTCTGGGATTCTATGAAACACAAACATCCCACCATGAGCTTCAGAGAACCACAAGGGTTTGAAGCAATTTCTGCGGCTAACCATTCATTTTTGAAATGGGCTTAAAAAGATAATATTGGAGCATTACACATTTGTTGTCACAATGCTACTGTTTTGTCAACTTCAGTCCTGTTTTAAACTACAAACACCTGAAATTCAGAAATTATCAGAAGGGCTGCACAAGTCCTCAGCCATTGCCAAACTTACTGTTACCCAGGGAGCTTTTGGGCACAGACTCAAATAAAAGGCAGAGCTACCTCTGTTTCAAATACAGGGAATTCAAGACCATTTTTGCAAATATTCCCTTTCCCAAAGCAGAAAGTGGAACACAATGAGTTTAGCCTACTCAGCATCTGCTATCACAAGAAAAGCCCTTGTTTATAGATAAGGCATCTGTGTGACAGAGGCACAGCCCTTGCACAGCTCATTCTCTCACTCCTGATGTTGCTTTATCTTCCTCCAGCAGAACTTTTCCTCCCAGCTCTCCCCTGAATGAAGGCCAGTGCAATTCACCTTCTGCTCAGGAAATGGTAACCAGGTTATTTTTTCATTCCACAACCATCCAAACCCTCTTACAATGTTTCCTGCTGCCTCACACAGCTGCTCACTCATCCCAGTTCTGCTCCCTGCAAGAAAGCTTCCACCTGGCTTTTTGTGCACTCTGCAGAAATCACCCTCCTCCCAGGAGCCCAGTAACATCCACCAATTCAAACCCATATTCCCTCCAACTGAAAATGATCACAGGGTCTGGAGGTTCAAGCCAAAGAAAACCTGAATGGAAGAAAATTATTGCTTTTAGCCACTGAATGGCTCATGTAAAGCTCTACATTTTATCTAACAAATAAATCCCTACACACACCATTAGCCTTGCATTCCAGGCTCTCTCCAGCTCTCTGAACCCACCTGTTTTTCAATCATTGTGCAGGGAGGGTAGTGACATTCATAGTAAGTGCAGGAGTTCTCTTCCTCCTCCACAACATCCCCATTAGCATTGTAATATCTGGTTACATTCAGGACAGGAAACTGCTCTTCTATGGGGTCTGTAGGAAGCTGTTGGATTGCCAGCCAGTACAGACTTTGTTCCCTGGAAAAAAAACAAGTGCAAGATTGGTGTACCAATTTCTAATAATCATACAGAGAAACCGATTCCAAATTTATTAATAAATTAAGTAGGGTTAACATTGTATTTATCCTTAAGCTGCACATACCGCTCATATATATTGGGTATTTTTAAGGTTATTTTAGCTTAAGTGCAAACCCCAAAAGTTTAAGTGTATCAATCAAAAAACATTTACATTGAGCAAAATTAACTCTGTGCAAAATTATTCACACCAAGTCAAAATTAATTTCTGGTTTGAAGTCTGTTTCTTGTTCATGAACCCCCAAAATCACGTGGAGCATTTGTAATTCACTACAACTTCTCAACATCAGTTTAATCAGCTCTAAACACCCCAATCCTAAAGCTGCTGCTGCAAGTGTTTCAGGAGAAGAGTGTGATGTGAAGTCTGTGGGTCTCCCACTGTGTGCCATCACTGACTATCCAGATCCATCCTGGCATGAAGAGCTTGATGTGCTGAATGAAACCCAGCCCGTGGAAGCTGCTGGAAGCTGAGCCCAGAACTCGCCCTGAGTGAGCCCAACCCCAGCTCACAACTTCCACCATGAGCATCCTGCAGGTCACGCTGGAATTTGAGTGCCTGAGGGGCAGAAGGCAGTGAGATGTGCAGGATTCCCTGAGGATCTGCTCAGCTGGGAGGGAACAGAGGCTCCCTGATCCTCCTGGCACAACCCCAAGGGTGAGACTGTCCCTGCACCAGGACAGGAGCACCGACTGCCCCAGGACAGACTGACATGTAAAGCATCCAAGGTTAAATCAAAAAGACTCTGCCAAGGCAAAAATCACTACAGGAAGGAGACAGCATTTGAAGAGATTTTATTTTCCCTGCCAGGTGATGCCATACCTTTGTTTGCTAGAGATTTCCTCAGCCTTGGGCTTCCACCCCCACGGGACGAGGCGCAGATTGTCCAGGCGGTTGTCCACGGTCACAGAGTTCAGATGCACCACCTGAAAGCCAGGAGCAATCCCTCCCCGGTGCCTCTCCCTGCAGGAGACAAAACCAACCTGAAGGTCAGTGGTGAACAGGAATAGCTAAAAAACAAAGGATCACAGCAATTCTAGAGGCAACGTGAGTTGGGATCTGCTGGCACTGAGCTGCCTCAGACAGGGCAACTCCCAGGAGAAAGTGCCTTTTTCCAGCAGGTGATTTCAGTTATAAATTAGCTGAATCAAAATGCAGAATATAGAGTAATTTTAAGCATACTGCTTAGTTGCTTAGTTCCAGAGTCTTCCAGTTACTGCTAGAGATCCATGGAATTACAGTGTTCATTGAAAGGTGCCAATACTGGTTTATTATTGTCATGGGAAATTCTATCAGACACATTTGTTTAAGTTTGGCACTGGTGTGGAGTCACAGGGCTTATTATTTATGAAGAAACATCTCTGAGCAGCAACAGGACAGGGGTTTCACTAAGTATGCAAATGCTTTTTAGACTCTAATTGTGTGTAACACACTGAAAGTCTCAAATGATTCCACAATTGACCAAGAAACACCCTGAAAGTTGCCCAAAACCCAAAGCAGGACTACAGGGGGAAATCTTCCCTACTGCCTTCTAAGAGTTTCCATTTCCCCTTCCCCCTTCTTTTCACCTCTCCTTTCTCTGTTTCATCAAGATCACTGTCAAACACCCTCATGCTGGATGAGCACTCCCCTCCCCAGGCACAACTGACCATCCTAGCTCATCCAAACTGAGCAGGAAGGACAGGATGAGGAGAACCTGCCTCGTCCCTTGCAGAAGGGGCAGAGGAACAGCCTCAGCAATGCAGCCAAAACTCCTGCAGAATTGGAGCTTCTGCCTTCCCCTGCAAAACCCTTCCCCCAGGACTTTTCATGGAATTATTTGGATTCTGTTCTTTTGGTATTTCAGCAGCTCAGAACCCAGGGCTGGAATACAACTGCAGACGCAGCAATTCCAAGCACCAGGAACCAGAACTGAGCCTGTTATAGGCAGCAAGATAGCAACTGATCTTAAAAAAACACCCTTAAAAACCCCCAGAAATCAGGTCTTGGATGTCTTTTTGAACATGCAGCTGGTATTACTTATGACTAATCCCCTGCTGCTGCTACTGTTCCCCAGGGAACATCTCTACACCCAGCAGAGCACAGAGCTGGGATTGCTCCACAGGGAATGGGTGAGGGGATGAGACTTCTGCAGACACATCCAAACCCTGCTCTGGGAGAGCCAAAACTCCATGTGGAAATCACAGCAAGCACCAGAGAGGCTGAAGAACCATCAGCAAGTTCCTTCTGTAAGAATTTTTGCAGCTCGTGTTGGGAATTTCCAGCTCTTGGTTGCCTTTTGATCCCACAGTTGCCTCTGCACAGGGCAGGGGAGCTCTGGGAGAAGGTCCCTGTCACTGCTGCAGCTCCAGGAGCTCCAGGCTTTCTATCCCAAGGGCCTCATGACATCAGCAAAGATACCTGCTTAACTAGAGAAAAAAAATGTAAAAAATCTATTTTACTTCCATCTACCACATGCTACTCACTGATCTTAAACCAGAAGCAAACAATTGGGTTGGTTTTTCACGTTTTTGGGGATTCATGTGCAGAGAACAACTGAATTACAGACCTACACCTGCAGTAATCCATGTTCTTTGGTTTTCATTCATCCAAGCAGTGCACTGGGAAGTGCAATCACTGCCAGGCTCTGCCCAGCTCTCCTGACTCTCACAGGTCCCCAGCCTCCAGCACTGCTCCTCCTCACCAAGCAAAGGACCTGCCGCTACTCTCCAGTCCTGGTTTGTGCTCAGAGCAGCCCCAAAAATGCTCTGTTTAGGAGGGGCAGAAGCTTCACAGCCCCTGCAGAGACTCAGCCACTGACCTGCAACACAAACACCTTCGGGACCAAAAGGAATTCACAGGAACAGCAGAGATATTTTATATTTTCTAGTCCAAAAATCTGACTGCAACTTCAGAACTTCAGCTCTGCTCGTCTGGCAGCTGACACCTTCCTCTGTGCCTCTCCAAAATCCCCATTATACACAATCTCTCATTTTTAACCCCATGCTTGAATGCCACAATTTGAATTTCCTAACTGAATATGCTCAAATGACTTCTTAATTTGAGTAAAACAAGCCAGAATAAGCAATAGCTGGGCTGTCATCATTTGCACAGCCTTTAACAATTGGCCTTTCCAGGTGCTCTTTAATGCTACTTACAGATAATAATTATGACTGTCTGAGGTTCACAGTTAGCAGCAGCAGCTGTCAGTGATTTGCAGCCAATTCCGTCATTTCAACAAAGTTTTATGTGCCATAAGATTAAATATTAACAGACACAGGTTAAAATCCATATTTAATAAGCAGATTGGAAATAATAATAATCATCTGATATTCTTCCTGTCTCCTTCCTCCTGTGCAGAGCCTGGTTCTAGGGGATAAAAGGTAACCTGGAACAATAAAGGGCATCCTGAGCACTGTGACGTCCAAAGATGTGGAACTGAATAGAAAATATGCTTAATTTTTCCAAAAAGGCTTTTAAAAGAAATAAGATTTCTTCAGCAGATCCCATCTTTTCTACAAACCCATCAACGTATCCAGAAGGAGGAATATATGAGCTCAGAGGGTGAGCTGCTCTCACAAATGAGGAAATTGGCTCCTAAAATTTAATGTTCATCCTGTGAAGGATTTCAAGGATTTGCAGAGCATGGAAAATAAGATGCAGCAGCTGATATGAGCCATCAGCATCACCTCAGGAAGTTTTGCAGAAAGCCATAAAAAACACCTCAAAGTTTTAAGTTATCAGAAGTTAAAGCCCCACAACAAGCCTTCAAAGGTTTGTCTTCACCTATTAAATGGCGCAGCTGAAGTTTGGGCAGCATTTCTCAGGTGCACACAGGGTGTCCATGAACCACTCACCTGTCTCTGGAACGTTTCACAGGCTGAGCCCTGTGAGAACTCTGCAAAACCAAGCCCTGTGGGCACCCAGTGCTGAGTTTCCACCTCTCCTGAGGGGACTTTGGTTACTAGAGGCAGAGAAAACTCCCTGCAGTACCCACCAGAGCAGCTCGTGCAGGAGGCGGCCTGAGCCGCGGCCTCGGTTCTTGTCGAACGCGTAAGCGAAGATTTTAGCACCATTTCCATCAGCATCCACCTCCATCCGAGCCTAGAGGGAAGGGAAAGGCTGTAAGATCACCCCACACGGGGCAGACAGTACCTGCTCCACTGGGATGTTCCCAACATTTCACACTTGTCCCTGCAAGTCCCTTGAGCTGGGTGGGATCTGAGCTGTCTCACACCCTCAGGCTGGCGGGGCTGGGAGGAGATGCATGGATAGAGAGCAGCAGGAATGCAGCTGTGGGGCTGGGATTGGTGTCAGGATCCACACTCTGACCCTGTGCTGCCACCAGGGCTCTGCTTTCTGCACTGCCCCTAAACCCACCTCACTGGGAGAGCGAGGGGCTGTCATCCTTCCTGCAAGAAGGGATACATCTGGGACAGTCACAGTGTGTTACCAGCACTGTGACAGACACACAGTGCCTGCCAGAGGGGAGGAATGGACAAACAGGGAGCGCTCTGGCAGCAGCACTGCCCAAACTCCTAAAATTCCTAAGAGCAGCCCCAAAGCATCCACTGCACTGCAGAAATTTAGCAATTATGGTCTCTCCTCCAAAAAAAGCCTTATTTGTTGAAGATTTTGAAATCATTGTATTTCACTTTTAAAGCCTTGGTAGAACCCACTTACCCTCCTCTAGTGGATGTAGAAATGAAACACTTTTTTCTGGTCTCATAATCAGTTACAATAACACAGGTTTTCCTCATCCAAGACTAAGTACAGAGTAAACATTTTTAACATTTGCCAAACGGTGCAAGGACAAATTATCAGTTCTCCAAATACATACAAATAGTATGAAAATAAAAAACTACATAACAAATTAATGAATACATGTTTTAAAACAACACTCGCCTAATTGGAAATAAAAAACAGAATCAGAACTTCTCCTGCTTGGAAGCCTCCACCTTGGGACTTCAATAACTTAAAACTGGTTTTTTTTCCCCAATCAGGGGAGCTGCAGGCACAGCACTTCCCCGAGCTGTTTGGTTGGAGCAGGGCACGAGGGAAGGGAAAAGCTCCAGCGGGAGCCCGAGCACCGCCGGCCCCGGGGCAGCCCCGGGCGGGCAGGGGAGTCACAAAAACCGCTAAAATAACGCGAGGGGAGCGCGGGCAGCGGGCGGGGCCCCTCACCTCGAAGGAGTAGCTCTCCACCAGCGGGATGTCCTGCTCGTCGATCAGCGTGTACTTGGTCTGCAACACAACGAGAGCGCCGTCAGCGCGGCCCCGGAGTGCCCGGCACGGCTCGGGACCGCCCGGCACGGCCCGGAACGGCCCCGGCTCCGCACGTGCACGGCTCCGTAAGGCCCCGTGCGGGCCCCGGCACGGCCCCAATGGTTTGGTAAGGCCCGGTAATGCACAGCACGGCCCGGCACGGCACGGCCCGTCCACCCGCCGGACAGACCCCGGGCCCCGGTCCCGGCCCCGCCGCCCCCCGCCCCGCCCGGGGCGCTGGAGCCCGGTCCGCCGGCGCCCCGCGCTCACCTTGCCGGCCACCCGCCCGAGCCGGACGATTCCCAGCTTGAAGTCGGTCATGGCGGGGCCGGGCCGGGGCCGCCGCTCGCCCCGCGCCGCTGCCACGCGCCGCCGCCTCGCGCACACCCGGGGGGCGGGGCCGCCGCGCCACCGCCCCCCCGCCGCCCCATGGCCAATGGCGGCCCGCGCCACCGCCCACCCGCGCCCGGCGGACCAATGGCGGCCCGCGCCGACCGCGCGTCACTCCCGCGATCGCCGCCGCCTCGGCCAATGGGCGCGCGGCGCGCCGCGGCTCGGATCACGTGGGACGAGGCCCCGCGAGGCGCGGGCGCGGGCGGCGCGGGCGCGGGAGGTGACGTCACGTTCGCGGGAAGCTTCGTGCCGGCGGCAGCGGCCGCGCTTAAAGGGACCCCGCCCCCCCCCCGGGGCCGAACTGCGACAGCGGAAACCGGGACAGGGCCGGGGACACCCCCGGGGACCACCGGAAGGGGCCAGCGCCGGGGAACCCCGGGCTCGCTGCCGGCAGCCCCGCCGCCTGGATGCGCCGGCTCTCGGGCGCTCCGGGGCCCGGACACCCCGCGCAGCCCCGACGAGCCGGGCCGGATCGGGCAGGGATCGGTGTCCAGCTGGAGACCCACCGGGAGCACGGAGTCCAACTCCGGGCCCTGCCCAGGACACCCCGACGATCCCGCGACAGCGGCGCTGGGGTTTGCCTGGGGGTGCTGATGTGACCCCAGGCAGGGACTGTGGCTGTTCTGGGGTCACCCCAAGAGACTCCCCACGAGGACAGCAGTTACTGCCAGAACTTGCAGCCATTGCAGCACTGGGGGTTACTTCAGGACCTGTGAAGTCACAGCAACTTTTTGGTTCAGATTTCAGCCCAGGGTATCATCTGCATCTTTATTCCCTCAACAAACCCTAAAGATTTGTGGGATCCTCCCACAGCTGCTCCATCTGCTTATCCCCAGCTTGCATTGATCCCAGGAGTTGCCCCAACCCAGGTGCAGCTGCAGCACTGGGCCTGCTTAAACCTCCAGAGGATCCCATGAACTTAAGCTTTGGCCAAGCCCCTCTGGATGGCATCACATCCCTCAGATGTGTCACTGCACCCTCAGCCTGGTGTCACCTGCAAGCCTGCTGAGGCTGTACTTGATCCCCTCATCTATGTCATTAATAAATATAACTAATTTAAACAATACATTAGGAAGATGGGTTTAAATGTGACATTAATGTAGGTTGTTATTATTTTTGGAACCCTCTGCCTCCTTCTGAGGAATCGTGATTTGGAAAAAATGAATTATTGGCAGGGCAAACCCTCCTTCCAAGCACTGCTTTGCTCCTACCAGAGCCCTCAGGCAGCATGGCAAAGGAGAACTCTCTGGAAGCAAAAGGAATCATTATTCCAACTGTTTCCAGCACTGCCAAGCAGAGGAAAACCCACCCAGGACAGCTCTGACAGCACGAGGCTCAACAGCTCCTGAGACTCAGGGCTCACATCAGAGTGGATTTCTAACACCAGGGGCACCAAGATTTAAAGCGAATTTAAAGCAGAGCCGGTGCTGAGAGGCTGCCCTGCCTCAGGCACCAACTTTGTGGTGGAATCCCTGCAAAACCTCAGCTGGAAGGGACCCAACCCTCCCTGGGCATCACAGCCACACCAGGCAGCCACAGACTGATTCCCATGGCTGGGAATACCAAGGTCAGGCTTTGCTCAGTTTTGCTTTAGGAGTGAGGAGGGTCCAGCTCCCCCTCACACTGACAGGGACACAAGTGGGATGTCCTGGACAACTGGTGTCTGACAGGGCTTGTGGATTTATAAAAACAGGGAGAGTTCCCCCAGAGGAAAATTCACAGCATAGGACAGGGACAAATAAGACCAGCAACAATGTTTGCAGACAACTGGGTCTTTCTTTAAGTATTTAAAGTGCTACAAAAAACTGAAGGAGCCTTCATGTGGCAACTTCCTTTTCTGCAGTCTTAGCTCTGTTGGAAGAAGCAGACACAGCTCATTAGTGGAGTCTTTCAGTAATTAAATGTCACACAGCAATTTCAGTCAGAGCTGGGCACTTACAGCCGGGCACTCGATGGCACCACTGTTGATGTCATCGATGATGTCGTGGGGGTGTCTCCCATCAATGCTGCAGCCCACAGACTGGGCAGTGCCAAGAATCTCCTTGATGGTCCCTGCAGCAGGAAGACACAGCTCTTAGCACAGGGAAACATCTGAGGAGCTTACCTGAGCAGCCTGGGCTAGTGGAAGGTGTCCCTGCCCATGGCAAGGGCTGGAACTCAATGAGCTTTTAAGGTCCCCTCCAACCCAAACCAATCTGGATTCTGACACAGAGAACTCCTCACAGCCCCCAGCAGAGAACATCAAGTCCCTTACCCAGATCTCACAAGCTGGATTCCCCCAGGAACACACTGGAAACTCCCTATGCCTGTCCCCTCCCCAGGTGTGGGGGCTGCCTGTTCCCAGCCAGCACAGCTCAGCTATCAGCTCTCCTCCCAGGAAATGGAGCAGGTGAATTCCCTGTGCCCCAACCCCAGGACTCACCCGAGAGCTCCCGGGCCAGGGAGCGGTGCCGCATCTGCCGCGCGATGTTCACGATCTCGTCGAAGGTGACGCTGCCACTGTGTTTAACTGTGAGGGAACGGCAGCAGTGAGGCCTCCTGGGCACTGCCAGCTCCCCATTTCCCCTGGGAGCACCATTCCCAGCACTCAGACCGTGTGGGGAGCTGGGAGTTTGCAGCTCCAGCAGGGCTGCTGCTCCCAGCCTGCAGCACCAAATTATCCCCAACTCCTCTTTCCAAGCCGGAATTTCTGCCAGCTCCACTGGCTGTGCAAGGCTCTGTGCTACAGGGCAGGTGCCTGTTCCATCCCAGCTTCGCCCAGAGCAGCTGTGGCTGCCCCTGCATCCCTGAAGTCTCCAAAGACAGGCTGGACAGGGCTTGGAGCAGCCTGGGATAGTGGAGGGTGTCCCTGCTCATGGCAGGGGGTGGAACTGATGGGCTTTAAGATCCCTCCCAACCCAAACCTGTCCCTGACTCCATAATCCCCTCAAATACAGAGCTCTGCTGGCTGATGTGTATCTGGGTACCCTGGCACTGCAGGGATGCCCAAAAACAGCCTTGTGTCCCCTGTTTACCGGTCTGTGCTGTATAATCCCAGAGGAAGGTACTGATATCTCCCCTTTTTCAGCCCCAAAATATTCAGAACCAGAGCAACACTTACTGTTCTTCTGCTTCTTCCTGTCACGAGGTGGCTCCTTCAGAGCTTTGATAATCAGAGCAGAGGCAGAAGGAACAACCTCTATCTAAATGGAAAGAGATTAATTCCCCCCTGACTCGACACAAAATTCCATTACTAATGAAGAAACTCAACCACTCAATTATCACAGCAAATTGCCAGAGCAGTGTGGGTTTGATCATTTCCCTCACGCTCCAGGTTTTTTTTGTGCAGTGGGAATCTGTTCCCAGGTTTTCGGCACAGGCCTCCCCACGTGCAGGAGAGGACTGCTTCCTGCCTGGGGCTTCCTCTCAGCTCACCACTGGAATGTACCAGCCACAGGCATCAGAACAGGTACAGTGGCAGGTGGCTACAGGAGTTGGCAAGATTTTGTATTATTTCTATGCTGCTTTAAAGTGTTTTTACTGGTTGGCTGTACTATAGAAAGAACAATTTATCTGCAATAGGATGAAAGCTGAATTTTGGCACGTGAGGATCTTTTCTCAGGATCCACACACATCCCCCCACCCACGTTTTAAGGTCTTCCCAGAAGACCCCCACACACCCCCGCTGTGTGGCACTCATTTTATCCACCTCGGAAGGATGAAGGGCTGAGTGGACCCTGCCGGGATGCGGGCCGGTGGCTGGAGCAGGCGGAGGCCGGCTGGGCTCCACGCCTGCGGCACCGGCCGGCCCCTGCGGCGTGCGGTACCTGCGCTTGCCTGTTCTGGATCGTCAGCTTCACCGTGATCCGCAGCCCCTTCCAGTCGCCCGTGGCCTTGGCGATGTCATCGCCCACCTTCTTGGGGGACTGAAGGACGACACGTGGAGGTCACGCATGGTTCGGGTTAAAGCCGAGAGCCCCAGCGCTACCCCCGTGTGCAGTACCGCTGAACACTTTTCCTCCAGGATGGAGCAGCACCGCCCCGGAACGTATTCTATCCCTCCCTCCCAGGACCCGCTTACATTTCCCCCGGGATTCGCTCATTCCCCCCAGCAGGACGCGCTTCCCACGCTCCGGGAGATGCTTCCCACTCCGCTCGGGACGTGTTTCATCCCTCCCTCCCCAGCCCACGCTCCCCACCGCCTCACACCTCCGTTCTCCCCAGCTCCCCCGGCCCCGGTACGTACCAGCCCCAGGGGTCCGATCTTGGGGGCCAGCGCGGACGTGGCTCCGACCTCGCCGCCGGTGCAGCGCAGATAAACTGAGGGGACAGAGCCGCGTCAGCCGCGCCCGCCGGGCCCCGCGGCCCCCGCCCGCCTCCCGCGCCCGCCGCCCGCCACGTACCGACTTTGATCTCATTGGGATCGAACTTGGGCGGCATCGCGGCGGCGGATGGCGCCCGGTGGAGGCGGATGGAGGGGGATGAAGGCGGGTGAAGGCGGATGAAGGCCGCACACAGAACCTAGGCCTTCCAGCGGCAGCGAAGAGACGGCGGCAGCGGCGCGGGCCCAAGATATAGCTACGAGATCCCGCGAGAAGACAGAAACTATAAATAACAGTCGAGATCTCGCGAGAGTTGAAGAGCGGGCCGCGGCGGGCTCGCTGCGGAGCCATTTATGTAAATATCCATTTATCTTATAAATAGCCCACCACAATCGGGTTCGTCAATCAATAAGGCAACTTATTAATTCGTTGATAAGGGACGAGCAAGCAGCGCCACGCGGGGAGTCTCCGCTCCACCAACACATCCGCTTTACCCCTGGTCTCTGCCTTTTTATAGGCAGTTTCCTGCTGGGCTGTGCAATGCCTGCTGTGCTGGGGCACAAACCCCAATATGTTGGCTATTTCCCAAGTCAACATTTGCCAGGTTACACTTCTAGCAAGCAGGTAACAGCAGTAATAAGTTTTTATGTGTTCACACAAGCCTGCTGGTGTTTTATACATAAAGAGTGGAT